TTTGCCGTACACTCCTGCAGGCTGGGAGAGAGTGTGGGTGGATGGGTGTGTCATCTCACACACATCTAACCACTTCCTGGCCCTGCGGGTGGTACCCACAGTGTGGACTAGTCTATAGAGGATACTTGGAATAATGGAGGTAGCAAGTCAGGGAGTTATTTTGGATTCTGACTTAAGTTTCAAGCAAGGTAACCAAAACAACTTTCTTCCACCTCAGGAATATCACCACTGCTCGACAGTTTTTCAATACAGAAGTTGTTGAAAAACTCATTCATCTCCAGCAGGTTGGACTACGGTCGTGATTGTTACACTTTGTCTTTCGAAAAAAGTCAATCGTTAACTTCAGCCAAATTCAGAACTCTACATAACCAAGACAAAAAAGAGAGACCACATTACTCCCATATTGGCTTCACTGCACTGGCTTCCTGTATCTTCTACAATAGATGTTATGATCTGGCACCCTCTTATATTTGCAATTCTCTATTGTTTTATAGCCTTCTGCCAGCCCTACGGTCCTCAACAGAAGGCATTTTAAATATACACTTTAAACAACAGCTGAAAATATACTTTTACTTCTATTTTTTTATAAAAATGTTCTTATGTCTCTCTAATTCTTACTAAGTTGGATTATTTTTGTTGCATTTATCATCTTGCTTATTTTACCTTCTTGTATTCCATTGAGAATATATTATGTACACATTTGTTATTGGTTTAAAAATGTGACTTGAATTGAATGTCTTATTTTCCGATCGTCAATTTGTTAAAGCACTCTGAGCTGCAGAAAAGTGCTGTAGAAATAAAGTTTAGTGGGGAGGACCATCCTTTTAAGTCATTGAAATACAAGACATGCCATCCCCAAACTTCAGAATAATATCTGCACCAGGGCCCGGGTGGCTCCAGCTGAAACAGCAGAGTGTGGGGTGGGGGGGCTGAGACACACCAGTGGCCTTGTGGATCACAGAGGGGCAGATGTATTCTCCGCTCCCACTGAGAGCAGCAGGCAGAGGATCGACTGCAGAATGGATTTCTGGACATATGCCGAATGAGCACGTAATCTTTTTGCTTCAGTTTTCCATTCTCCCTCCACTCTCTGGCCATAGAGCCCTGTCAATGTATGATGTGCACACAGCAGAGTGATTCAGACCTCAGAGGAGACGAGTCAGAACACAGCACGACTGTCAGGACTTCTGCAGATACGACAAGCAATTATATTAGAAACAATAACTAGGCGAGAATATACTTCACCTTAAATTGACACCTGGCAACATTTGCAACATTGATATCTTTTAAAAACAGAACTGATTGTCATAATTATGCAAATTGTCCATAAAATCCCCAAAGTCTGTTCCTGCTGTCTCTCGATTACTAACAGCAGTTTTGGCTTCATTTGCCCCTACCCTTCAGGCACGTTAAAACACACACATAGAACCATACACACACTCATAGTGATGATATGATGTATTTACCAGTGTTCTTTTCACCATTTGACTCTATTTAAAAGATATTACATGAATCCCTTTAACAAAAAAAGCTGCTTAATTCTTTAAAATAATCAAATTAATATAATCCAATGCAGTGAATATGCTCTATTGCAAACTTTAGATGTCATACCTGGCATATAGATAGTCCTTAACAGTATCCTTTCCCTAATGATTACACATTGTCATGCCACATACAAATGAGTTTCACTTCGGTCTAACAAAGGTGTTGTTTGTTCATTTCATTCTCTGATAACACGTCAATGACCTACAGAAACACATTTACACAAGAGGTTCAAATGTTGGCACAAATAAGCGAACACACTCAAATGTGATATCCACTGGCACAGAGGAAAGAGGCTGCTCTCTCACAGAGGTAACCTGCTTCATTGAAATGCTACGGACGGGCTCCACAGCGGCATCGAGAGCCCTAACACACAGAGCCGGAGGAGAGTCCCTGAAAGAGGATCATTAGCATTGGCAACAAAGCCACCTTGTATGAGAACCAGCGGAGAGCAGATTACACAGTTAAGGAAGCAATGATTGCGAATAGAAGGGAAGTCTTTACCCTGATAAATACAGAGGCTGAACAGGGTAAAGCAGCTCGAGTTAGGGGTGGAATCATTCTAAAGTTTGGATTTGGATTAGGTTTAGGGAGTTATAGGGGTACAGTAGATGTAATGAGAGTACGTTATCAGGATACAACAATGGTATGTGCTCCTTTAGAGTTACATTTTAAAATAGATAATTGATTGGAATTTATAGCAGGTTAATAATGTTACAATACATTTTAAAATAGCTTACACTTTACAGAATGAATTGCTTTTTTTAAACTAATGTATATGGTCATTTCTTTTAGACGTCTGCCTGAATATTATTAAAGAAAAAGTCATGTTATAAAAATGTAAAGTCTTTATTTTTCTTCTCATACTGCCTGTGCTGCAGCACCTCTTTTCACCCTCTGTCTGAAACCAGAGCCCAGTCTGCTCGGATTGGTTAGCTGGCCGGCTCTGTTGTGATCGGTCAACCGCTAAGAGATGCCCTGTCCCTTAGCCTATCACGTACAATGTGTTGGAGCGCTAGCTTTCGCCACTGTATAGTTAGTTTAATAGGTTTATTTTTCCGCTACTTCCCCCCCCCCCACCCCCTTAACCTGTCTGCCTTTTTTCCCCTACTCCCCCCCCCCCCTACCCGACTTGTAAAGCGACCTTGGGTTTCCTGAAAGGCGCTATAAAAATATTATTTATTATTATTATTATTATTAGCCAATGGAATCGCAGTCTTACACAGTGATGTCACTATGTTACAGAGGTAAAGAGGGAGGGAACTTTGGGATTTGAGCCTTTGCAGACCATTTACATGCACAACAACCGATATAACACACTGCCGGTAAGGAAGAATCCCAAAAGGCACACTGGGGTCTCTTTAAGATGAATGTGATGGTTCACCAGGTCACTTTCCACCTCTGCTCCCTCATCATATTACCCTCACCTGACTCATCTGGCCAAACAGATACAGAAAGAAATATTATGAAAGACAAGTCATGAATGCCTTCACTGCCTATAAAAGCCTGTGCCAATGCTCGTCTCTGTTATCACAATGCCTCTGAGGAAAATTGCTGTCTGTACACCCCAGAGGCATTCATCAACTCACCCCATCTGAAAAGAAAGCACACAGACTGTTCACTCCTGCCTGAATCACTGTATAGATATAACCACATGAACACCACAGCACCTCCAGGAGAAGTTAGGTATTATTGGCCTGTGTGTGCGTGTGTGTAAGATATGAACCCACGCTGCTCAGACACCATCAGGGTAATTTCTGAAAGCACATCAATACGATACGAGTGCGCCTGACTCTGCCGGGGTTAGGGGTGTTTTCATGTGACATAAATCATAAACAACTGGTGAACATAAGCTGACAGTGTCTATGCCTGCACACACACACACACATGGGCAGGGTGAGAGAGAAGGAGAGATAGAATCAATACCCTATCTTTTCCATTTGCTGTATTGCACCATTAACATTCCTTACATATCCTCTTACAATCCAATCCACCACATATTCTCTTTCACTGATACTCTCTTCAACACACACACACCCCCTCAGACACACACACACACACACACACACACACACACACACACACACACACACACACACACACACACACACACACACACACACACACACACACACACACACACACACACACACACACACACACACACACACCCCCTCACACACACACACACACACACACACACACACACACACACACACACACACACACACACACACACACACACACACACCTCGTTTCTCTGTATCACCATAACAATTCTCTGACCTTTCAAAACTGTTTACAGGTCAAATGTGGGTTTAATTTAAAGCACAGAAATGCCTCTAAAACTGGAACATATGTTTGACTGAATAACCAAATAACAAGTGGAAGTAATATGCAAACTGCCTGTAGTTGCCAGAAAATGAATGTGTGTGTGTGTGTGTGTGTGTGTGTGTGTGTGTGTGTGTGTGTGTGTGTGTGTGTGAGTGTGTGTGTGTGTGTGTGTGTGTGTGTGTGTGTGTGTGTGTGTGTGTGTGTGTGTGTGTGTGTGTGTGTGTGTGTGTGTGTGAGGATGCAGATAGACAGAGGGAGGACTTTCCATCACAACAATATTAAAGAGGCATGCGAGTAAAAAATAATTAGAGGATGGATTGTAAATCTCTTCTGAGCCTGTCTGCTTTGCCGACAAACGGTGGCTAATATGAAGCAGATGTTTACATGGCAGCTTCGCAGGGAGGAAGAGGAAGACATGCATGAAGAGTAGCAGTTTAATCCAGTGCTAAACAGCTGAGAGGGATGCAGGCTCTGACCTAGTTCTCAACTTTTGGATGAAGACTTTTTTGTCTGTTCCCTTGAGGCTGACTGTCCACATTCTGCAGTCAAAGCTAAAGCAGTTAAACGACACACACAACTGAGCCAATGGGCTTCACAATAGAGCATTGAAGCAGAAAGCTCCTGGGGACAGAATGACTAGAGCAGGTATAATGCCTTTTTTTTTAATAAAAATGAGCCATAGTGAAAAACAAATGTCATGCAATAACCATTTTAAGGTGCCAGCATCACAACAAAACAACACAATACCAAATTAAGCTGAATATTAAAACAATACCATGGGAGATGGAAGAGAACATTAGCACTTTTTATTTACTACTAACACATTAGTGAGTACCACAGGCACACTTATAACTCTCAGTAGGGATATTATTGGTTTTTGTTTAGAGTCGAGTAAAATGCAAAGTAGTTTGGAGATGCTGCAATTAACAGAGGACGTGAAGGCAGCAGCTCTCCAGTGCAGTTTAATTAAAAATAGAGCACTCCTCAAAAGACTCCATAACGAGATTAGAAGTGAGCCAAATGAGTTAGTTTGCAGAGGGAGAGACATCACTCAAAGTTGTAAACAGAGAATCCCCAGGTGTGTGTGTGTGTGCGTGTGTGTGTGTGTGCGTGCGTGTGTGTACCTGTGATGTGTCCAGGAAAACGCTCTTTCTGAACTTCCCTCGCCGTATCTCCATTTCAAGGGCAGAGCCGCGGGCAACGGTTGCTCTGGTTGTTTGATTTCGGCAAAACATCGCCTCTGCTTTCTGCCAACTTCACACACAGCCCTTTGCGCGGCTTATTAGGCAAACTTAAAGTGTGCGCAAAGGGAGGAATTGCTTCGAAAAACTTCCAAAAAAACAGCCCCGGCCGGCGCGGATTCAGGTGGTACGAAACGGCCCCACCGGGGGAAAACTCCCAAGAGATTAAGACAAACCCCGAATCAAACACTGACGCTTCTTCTGATGTGAGACTGAAGCAAGTCCACACGCATGAAGAAGAAAGTCAAAGTGGTTCACAGAGTCTTCTCTCACAGCTGACTTTTCACTTTTCCAAACACTGCCCCTTGTGAGGCAACAGTGACATGGTGACACCCCATGTGGAGGAGTGGAGCCCGGACCCAACCTTCACCCTGTCCTGCAGCCTATCCGGAGACCCCTACCGGCCAGGGAGGCAGAGATTTACTTATGCAATATCACAGATGCCTGTTGCAGTCATTCAGCGGAGAAGGATGAAGCATCGAACCAGATGTGCGCACGAATCACGATACTTATTATTACTCATTTGTAACATCAATTATTTCCAGGTTGTAGACGTTGTTGTTACTTATTAGAACATGCATGTGTGTATGTACAAGGAAGTTGGAACACACAATGCATCGGAAAGTGGTGGCTTTATTCAGAACCACAGCATTGGAAAATATATTTTAAAATATAGCCTAGGAAATCAACATTAGGCTGCTTTTACATTAATCAAGTAGCCTCATTTCGACGATTCCTTCAACTTTTATTTAAATTGAAAGCCAATCATGTTTGCCTTTTTTTGTGCTACTTAGTTTACTTAGTTTTCTTATATATTATTTTCTTACAAATTCTTTTTAAGAAAAAAATGGGTTGCAAATGAATCATGAACATGTAGCTTCATTCTATTTGAATTCATAACGTTTTTTCGGGAGTTTTATTTGTACTGATGTCTAGTAATTTTGCCACAATACAGGCACTCCAAAGATTCAAATTAAAAGGATTAAAGTACATTCAAAGTGAAAGCATTACACTCCAACCTAAGTGTGCATCCTGCCTACTTGCAAATGTCTTTGTTATGTTATGTTAAATGAATCTACAGGTTTGAAAAATACTATACAAATCCAAGTTATCAGAATAAGTTTTATTGCCAAGCAGTTGTTCACTTACCAGAAGTTTGCCTTGTTGTTTTGGGGCCAACAATAAACATATTAACATGGAAAAAATACAATAATACATCACATTAAATAAGCAAAAGATACAATGAAAAGATGTACAAAATGATGACAGTTCAGTACCAGCAAAACTTTATCGAGGATGTGCAAAATGTACTTTAATGTAATGCACTAACCTTTTAATGAAGCCTCCTGCATCCTTGGCTGGCACATTCATATATTCATAATTATTTTAGGGCTGTACCATTCCTAACCGTTTGGTATGCTTGGAAAGCTCAAGGATTTCACTAGAATACATATGGAGATGTTTGACTGAATAATGTGCCTTATAGTATTGAATCCAGCATGAGAGTGCGGGGGTCAACAAAGCGTGAGGAGGTTAAAATCACTTGACTTAGCGTATCACATAATAAGCATGCAGGCAAAATAATCCCCTTGACCTGTCAAAGCATCAGGAGCTTTTTAATATGTTCCATTCGTACTCTTTGGCCTCTGAGAATAAGTGTTTCCTTTATACCAATAATGCAGCGTACTTAGAGTCCTGTAAAGCGGGGGGTATAGGTTTTGCCTTCATCTTATAACATTTTATTTATGAGCCTCTGAACCAGGGCTTGAAGATCTAGCAGGAATGTGAATTTGATCTGCCGCGGCACCAGGTCTTTACTGGACCTGCTGTGAGGGGAAAGGTCAGAAGGTCATTGAGGTGACATCCACATTTACAGAAGTCGGATTGGAAATCCAAGACTTCTCGGCCCAAAGTGATACCTCAACATTGCTTAAAGGGGCCCTATTCTGCTCATTATCAGGTTCATATTTGTATTTAGTGTCTCTACTGTCACATGCCTCCATGCTTTAATGTTCAAAAAGCTCTTTATTTTCCTGCAGCACCTCTTTTCACCCTCTGTCTGAAACCAGAGCCCAGTCTGCTCTGATTGGTTAGCTGGCCGGCTCTGTCGTGATTGCTCAACTGCTTAGAGATGTCCGCACCTCTTAGCCTATCACGTACAATGTGTTGGAGCGCTAGCCAATAGAAGCGTCAGAGCTACGTGGTGATGTCACTACGTTCAGGAAGTAAGCAAAGGAGGCCTCTGGAGGGAACTCTGGGATTGTAGTCTTTGTCAACCATCACATGCACAAACAAACACACTACTGGAAAGGGGAAACCCCAAAAAGCTTAATAGGGCTGCTTTGATCTAGTCCCAAGAAGGTGCATTTTACCCGGATAGGGACTAACATCCAATTCAGACTCTTTAGACACATGAACTGTCCACCCTTGGTTTGTAGTAGATGTGTGTTTGGCTGTTCTTTCGTTAAGGTTTAAGTACCAGTACACAGCCTTATATCGACTGATACTTTGTACATCTTTGCTTGAAATGCTTCAACGTAAAGAAACACTCTATCCTATGTTTTTATGAGCAGATCAGTGATATTACAAGAAGTGCTCAGTAGCAAGAAGCCGGTTTTCAAAGATCTATTCATCTATTTTCTGTAGATTCACACACAGCGTATAACCCCAACCATGACCTAATGTATTAACAGAAACTATCCAAGTGAAGAATGTTAAAAGAGAGACGAAGCAGAGGCGACACAAAAGGAACATTGTAAAAAGAGAACACTTTAGTGATGGCTGGAAATCAATGCATTAAGATAAGATAAGATAAGATGGAGCTGTATTAATCCCCGTGGGGAAATTCAGTAGTTTAACAGCAACAGGGTGAGAATGAAAAATAGGACAGCACAGATTAACACAAGATTAAATATTAATACAATTAATACAGGTATACGTAACTGTTAAAATAAGAAATGAATTAAATGAATATATACATATTTTAGTCATACATATTATTAAATATATTTACATGTATGTGTGTCGGTAATACATACATCATGTTTGTGTTATTGCCAGCCATTGTTATCTGTGATGTTCCTACTAGTCACAAACTGCTTTAATTAACGGTGGGTCGGCAATTAAGTCTGAAAACCCAGCGTATGGCATTATGGTAATATGCTGTGATGGTAAGCATGTTTTGTTTCTTGAATTATAAACGACTTAATACAGCAATCTGTTGTTAGACTAACACTCATTAGATTGTGTTTGTGTTCTTTTGAATAGGAAAATACATTGTTGCGTTTCCCAATGCTTTGGAGCTCTATGCTCTCTGTAAAACAAAATACTGCATGCATTAACATCTAGTGATAAAGCAAAAGACTCCTCCATTAATAAAGGTAGCAACATAAAACTATTATGACTGTATCTGCAATGAGTGTGTACTGCTCGGTCTCTATGGAAAAAGGGAAAGGGGCTTGTGTTCCTCTAATCTCCCCCCCAGTCTCTTATTTAAAAGCAAGATGTTTGTTGACGTTGGGAGCTTGAGTAAACAGCTGAAGGTGCTGTAACTCAATGTGATCTCTCTTGGATGTGTGTCTGTTTCCTGGAAGGGACAATGTGAAATGCAGATTGTGCGCCTCATGCCGCTCTGGTCAGTAGGGGGTAGACAGTCTCAGGGGGAGCAGCGCTTTCCCAAGCTAGGTCTTGACCCCCTTTTAACTCCTCGCTGGGCTCCATCGGGCCCTTTGGGCAGCTCAGTGTGCCGCAGAGTCAGGCAGGCAAGGGGCTTATGTGCTGGCTTTGCCGTGGCAGATTTTAAATCCGTCTGTGGGGAACAGATAGGTCTGGTTGATCAGCCCTCGTTTATAATGCATATTCTATTTGTAAATCCCCAAAACTAAAAGTGTTCCCTTCTTTTGCCCACACAAACAGGCAGAAACAAAAGTGACTGCCACAGTTAGAAGCAGTCACAGCAGGATATAAAATGCCTACCACACAAACAAAGCGGCCGCTCTTCAGTCAGAGATCGTGGCTATGGAGCAGCTGGAAGAACATCACATGATACAAGAAATCAGGACACAATAACGCCGATACACGGAACCACACAATACTTTTCTGCTTGTCTTTCTGCTTCACACGCACGTAGAGCGTATGATCTATTGCCTACCAGGTTTGAAGCCGAGGAGTGGGTGTAAACAAGCAGCATATTGGAAATAAAGGAAATCTGCTGGAATGAAAGTGCTACAGGCACAGCGAAATGGCTCTGGCTGTTCCCACTATAATTACATGTAGTTTTTAGTTTACACACGGCATCTATTGCACGTCTGTCCGTCCTGGGAGAGGGATCCCTCCTCTGTTGCTCTCCCTGAGGTTTCTCCCATTTTCCCTTTAAACTGTGGGTTTTATCCGGAAGTGTTTCCTTGTACGATGTGAGGGTCTAAGGACAGAGGGTGTCGTATTGTCATACTGATATTTTGTACAAACTGTAAAGTCCACTGAGACAAATGTAACATTTGTGATATTGGGCTATATAAATAAACATTGATTGATTGATTGATTGATTTTCTTTATTCTAAATATACACATACAATAACTATTGCCCTACTTCCTTTACTGTTCCTAGTACATTATTACACTTCAAACATTACAGGATCAGTTTTCAAGTGATCTAAGTGAATACATATAGGGTGTGTGGATGCTAAGTTATCAAGACAGTAACTCACAATGTGCTCTCATTCCACAGAAGCACACAATTAAAAAACACTCCAGTGGTATCAAAACAATTCAATGTTCTTTCTCATACGTGTTAAAGACCTTATGTCAATATTTAAAGTGTTCAAGCTTAAAGGATGTTGCAAACTTGCACAACGGCAGTTGAAAGCTTGGCAACCATCAGTCTGAATGATGCACACATCCAATGTGAAAAACATGATGGATCATGCGATGCTGTATTGGCTGGTGGATGAGGTGTCCTCAGGAGAAACGGAGCTCACACGCAACGCATACACTGGAACCATTCTCTGAATTAACTGAGGAAAGCACCAGAGGGACATCAAGCAGGACTTAAGTCTGGCTTGCAATTAAATTCTTAGCATGCCCAGAGACAAGTGTATACAGCACTTAGAGGCAGAGTGTATGTCAGCCATTCTGTACAGGACTAAACAGCAAGTTGTTATTCATGACGCATGTTCTTATCACGTGAATACATTATACTAGTCTGACTTCTGCTGGACATTACATGCCATTACATCAAATAACACACAATTGGATAGAGTCTCTTGTTTGCTTAAATTAGCAAAATACCGTGTTGACACATCCATCATTGAACAAAGATGGCTATACATACACACATTTACCGTCAATGTAGTGCAACTGTGCTT